AAAGTTTCTGTTTCCACCACCCTTTGTAGGCAGAGAGTTCCAGATTCCCATCAATGGCTATGATGGCAAATGAAGACTGCAGCAGTAGGGAAATCCCCGTTCCATGTCACTGGATCTGGCTTCTGTTAAGGACGTTGTGTCTCCTGATGTGCAACAACATTTCCACATTAAAAGATGTCCCGCACATGACGCCTGCCTAGAATGTGAACTACATATAGACGCCACCTCAAAGCCTTTGAGATGTACAACGCTGTTTGAGAAGGATTCTCCACAGTATGCTTACCATAACTTCTTACATTAGAAGGACCAGGACAGCAGATGTATGAAAACGTCACCATTTGCAAGTTTCCCTTCAAGCCACTCACTGTCCTGAGTTAGAAATATATCACCATTCCTTCACAGTTGGCAGGTCAAATTTCTCGAATTCCCTTCCTAAAGACATTGTGGGTTTACCTACAGCACTTGGACTTCAATGGTTCAAAAAAGCAGCTCACCACCAACTTCTCAAGGGTAATTAGGGACAGACAGTAAATACTGGCCAGACAGCAACTCCCATGTACACAAGTGAATAAAAAGCAATAATTATGTCTGACTTTAATTTTACATTGATTGGGTTAATCAAATTGGAAAGGGTAGCCAGAGCAACAAATTCATGGAGTATATTAGGGATAATTTCCTAGAGCAGTATGTTGTGGAGCTAACCAGGGAACAGGCTATAAAAAAATACCCCAAAAGAACTGTGGATGCTGTAAATCAGGAACAAAAACAGAAGTTGCTGGAAAAGCTCAGCAGGTCTGGCAGCATCTGTGAAGAAAAAAAATCAGAGTTAACGTTTCGGGTCCGATGACCCTTCCTCAGAATTGGCACGCTTTCTTGTATTTGGTAATGGGGATAGGTTTAAGAAATGACGTCCAAATAAAAGGTGAACTGGGTGAATAGATTAATAGGAATGACAGTAAGCAAACAGTGGCAGATGTTTAAGGAGGTAATTCATGACTGTCAGCAAAAGTTCCTCCTCGTAAGGGGGAAAGATTGTAAGAGAGGGTTAAACCAACAGAGTGTTAAGTTGAAAGAAAAATCATATAAGTATAGCTTATTTAAATATGTAACAAGGAAGGGAGAGGTCAAAGTGAACACAGGCCCTTAGAAAATGAATCTGGGGAGATGGTTATTGGGAACAAGGAAATGGCAGTGAAGTAAAAGATATTTTGCATCACTCTTTATGCGAAAGACACTTCGAATAGCCGAATAATACCAAAGAATATGGGGGAGGAATTAAGTAACATCACTAAAGATGTAGTATTAGACAAACTAATGGGCCTAAAGATAGATAAGTCCTCTGGTGCAAATGGCTTGTATCCCAGGATGTAAAAGAAGTAACTACAGACAGTGAATGCATTGGTTGTAATTTTCCAAAAGTCCTTGGATTCTGGAGAAGTACCAGCAGATTGGACAACTGCCAATGTGATGCCCCATTCAAAAAGAGGAAGGCAAAAAGTGGGTGTCTAAAGGCTGATTAAAATAACATCTATTGTTGGAAAAGTATTAGAGTCAGTTATTAAGTAATAGTAGCACATTTGAAAAATCATTAATGTAACCAAACAGAGTCAGGATGGCTTCATGAAATAGCAGTTATGTCTGACTAATATGAGTGTTTCAAGGAGGTATCTACCAGAATGGATAAAGTAGAACCAGTAGATGTGTTGTCTTGGACTTTCAGAAGGTGTTAAAACAAGCTAGGAACATAGGAACAAGTGTAGGCCATTCAGCCTCTTGAGCTCATTCCACCATTCAGTGAGATCACGGCTGATGTATGGCCTAAATCCATATACTGCTTTTGGCCCAAAGCGCTAAATACCTTTGCTTAACAAAAATTGATCTATCTCAGATTTAAAATTAACTGATTCAGTTAATGTTGCCATTTATGGAGGAGAGTCTCAAACCCCTACCACCCTTTGTATGTAGAATTGCTTCTTAACATCTGTCTTGCGTTGTCTGGCCATAATTCTCAGACTATGACCCCTAGTTCTAGAATCCTTTACCAGTAAAAATAATTTATCCTTACCTGCCCTGTCTTTACCTGTTAATATCTTGAAGACTTTGATCAGATCACCCCTGAATCTTCTAAATTCTGGAGAAAACAGGCCTAATTTTCCTCATAATGTAACCCTGAAGTCCAGGTATCATTCTTGTAAACCTACTTTGTATTCCCTCCAAGGTCAATATATTCTTCCTAATGTGCGGTGCCCAGATCTCTGTGCTTCAAGTGGGATCCCACCAGGATTTTGTATAACTGTAGCATAACTTCTGCATCCTTGCTCTCCAGTCTTTGACAGAAAGGTCAGGGGACATCACTGTATTTAACTTCATACCATCTAGAAAGTACCCTGATCTATCCCTTTTCAGTCCAAAATGGATAATTTCACAGTTGTTTATATTGAACTCCATTTGCCACATTTTTGCCTATTCACTTAGTCTATCAATATCCCTTTGTAATGTTATGCTATCATCTATACTGTCTACAATGCAGCCTAACTTTTGTCTTCAGCAAATTTGGATATATGACTTTCTATGCCATTATCCAAGTCCGTAATAAATAATGTGAATAGTTGAGGCCTGAGCACAGATCCTTGTGGGACATCGCTGGCCACACCCTACCAATTTGAGTATCTACTCATTATCCTACTTTCTGTTTCCTGGAACTCAACCAATTTCCAAGCCATGTCAGTAACTTACCCTTAATTTTGTGGGATTCTGCCTTAATTAATAGACTCCTATGTGGGACTTTATCAAATGCCTACTGGAAGTGTCTTTAAACAGCGTCCATAGACATTCCCCTGTCCATTACCTTAGTCATCTGTGAAAATTCAATGAGGTTTGTCAGACTTCACAAAAAGTTAAGTCATAAGATAAGCCCATTTGTGTTGGAGGTAGTATATTGGCAGGGATAGAGAACTGGCTAATGGGCGGGCAACGGGAGGGGGGATAAGGGCTTTTTTTTCCAGGTCGGTGACCTGTGACCAATCGGGTTCCACAGGGATCAGTGCTGGGACCTGTTTAGCAGTGTTACAATTGTTTAAGATGTATATTAATGACTTAGAGGAAGGAAGTGAATGTACTGTAGCCAAATTTGCAGACACCACAAAAATCGGTGGAATGGCAGATTGTGAGATGGGTATAAACAGTTTACAGATATCAATTGGTTATGTAAGGGGGGGAAAAAATGTTGGCAAATTGAGTATAATGTGGGAAAATGTGAATTTGTTCAATTTGGAAGGGAGAACAGTTAGTACAGAACATTACTTAAATAGTGAAAAACAGTAGAAAGCCTTAAAGAGACTTGTACATGAAACACAAAGCTAGCACGCAGGTGTAGTAGGTAATCAGGAAGGCTAACGGAATGTTGGCCCTTATTTCAAGGGGGAATGGTTGGAGTAAAAGAGAAGGGAGTCTGCAACTGTTCAAGGTGCACATGAGACCGTATCTCGAACTGTGTAGTTTTGGTCTCCTTATTTAAGGAAAGATATCATTTCATTGGAAGTGGTTCAGAGAAGGTTCACTAGGATGATCCCAAGTGTGGAGAGATTGTCTTACCAACAAAGGCTAAATAGGTTGGGACTTTACTCATTGAAGTTTAGAAGAATGAGAGATGGTCTCCTTTAGCCATAGAGGATTCTTAAGGAGCTTGACAAGGTAAATGCTGAGAGGATGTTTCCCCTTGTGGGAGAGTCTATGACAGGGAGGCGTAGTCTCAGAATAAACGGGTGTCAGTTTAAGACTGAGATGAGGAGGAATTTCTTCTCTGAGAGGCTTGAGTGTCTTTGGAACCCCACAAAGGGTTGAAGGGGCAGATAGATTCTTGATCAGTAGAGGAATCAAGGGTTACAAGGAAAATGCAGGAATGTAAAAGGGAGGAATGAAAGATTAGCCATGACCCTTTTGAATGGCAGAACAGGCTTGAAGGACTGAATGGCCTATTGCTGTTCCTGTTTCTTATGGTGTTACGGAGATAAAATCCTAGAGAGAAAAGGTAGGCCGTTAACGGGCTTGTAGCTAGTAAGGCAGGGAAGCAACACGTTTTCACCCACTCATTGCCCCTATTGTCACCTATCTAGCTTCTCTTCTTTTGTCTCGCTCACGGTCTCTGCTCGCTCTCTGTGCGCTCCACCTGTCTGCTCATTCCTTCACTGCCCAACCCCTGTCCTGAGCAGTAGTACCACATTTTCTTAGCTGTTGTCTATTCTGAAGAAGTGTCCCACTACACGTTAACTCTGTTTCTGTCTCCACCTATTCTGCCGGACTTGCTGAGTTTCTGCAGCAATTTGTTTTTTAAATCTCCAGCATCTGCAGTTTTTTGTTTTTATTTTAGTGTTGTCTGATTAGACTTCTATTCAATTGAAGCAAGGGAATGGGTAGTGATGATTTCAAGGTAGCAGTGAACGGTTGGGGTTGAAGTGCATCTTCTAGAGAAGGTACAGTGGAAGAAGTAGTCATGGAGCGAAAATGCTATTGATAGCAGCAAATGGCCAAGAATTGAAGCTTTCAGCAAAATCCAACAAGGAATCATTTCCGAAAAAAGTTTAAAAATATCAGGAAATCAAAATTGTGCACAATATTCTAGATGACGTGTAAGCACAAACTTAAATAATCGCTGTTAGTTTGCCTTAATTTTGTATTGCAGCCCTTTATAAAGGGCAAGAAGAAAAGTGGTAATAGAAGTGAAGATCTTAAATCCTGTGTACAGTTAAAAGTATACAATCCTATTTACATTCTTAATTTCTTGCTGGACCTGAATATTGACTTCTTTTGACTTGTTGCACAAAGCTATGTTTTTGAATAAAATTTCTCTAAATTTGAGCCAATAGTGCAGCTTGAAAACATCTTTACTTGTAGGGCAATGATTACTCCAATGCTGAGTAATGTTGGTGAGAATGCTGGAGAGATGGAGCAGGTTTCTTTTTGTATAAATTAACCTTTGTACTGTGTCCTTACCATTTCAGATCCATTTACTTTGGAATAAAGATCTCTACAGATTATTGGTGGACTATTAATGTAAAACTTCGTGGAAAGGATGAGGTAAGATTTGTATTTTTGATTTGGTTTAATGGTGTTTGGTGAAGTATCACAAAGTAGGCTTGCCAGAAAGTTGGAAGCCCATGAAATGAAACAAGCAGTGGTAGCAAAAACAACTTAGACTTTATACATAGCATTTTCAATGTAATGAAATGCCCCAAGGTTCCCTTGGAGCTTTGGAAAATGGAGTCTGATATTGAGCTCCATAGGGACATATGCAATCACATGAGAAAAACTTGGTTTTAAGGAGTCCCTTAAGTGAAGAAAGTAAGTTAGAAGTGGAGAGATGCAAGGCAGGAATTTCAGAGCTCGGGATCTAGGCATTTGAATGCTGAATCAATTATAATTGGAAATGTATAAGAGAATTAGAAGAAAACAGATTTCTTGGATTCAATGATTGGAGGAGATTGCAGAGATAGGGACGCAAAGGTCATGGAGGAATTTGAATACAGGGATGAAGATTTTAAAGTTGAGCAATTGCATGACTAGAAGCCAGGTGATTGAGGAATAAGGGTTGCTGCAAGTTAAGACCTAGGCAGTAAAGTTTTGGAAGATTTCAAGTTTATGAAATGTGGAATGTGGGAGACCGGCCAGGAGTGCACTGGAACAGCTGACCCTAACAAAGCCTTGAATAAGGGTTTCAGCACCAGGTGAACTGAAGTAAATTTGGGTGGTGTCACAAGTGGAAATGGACACAATGCCAGAATGAAAATGAGATTGATATCTCAGGTTGGAAGAAAAAAAAGTGACACAGTTGCTAGGGGGAGGAATGGCGATGGTAGCTAGAAAAAGTACTTTTGACAAAGGCTTCAATCCTTCCAGCATTTAACTGGAGGAAATTTCTGCTTCTCTGACACTGGATGTTATGATCCCGGACAAACTTCCAATTTTGTTACAATCTGGTTAGGAATCAGTATAGTTTTTTTTATTTTTAAAGTAGTCAAAAGGTGAGATCTAGGGGACTTAAGAGAATAAAGCCACACATCCCATAGTTTTGAACAAAATAGAATAGTAATGCAGTCTACAATACACATACGTTGAGTGTTAGCAATGTGGTAAACCTTGGTTACATACTCTGCTCAGACACACCAGGATGATAATGACACAGTGAGTCCTGGGATCTCATTAAACTGCACAAAGCATCATGATTCTTCACTTTTGTTGACCTGGTACTCCCTTTCAAAAAGCCACTCCAAGAACTGTTTTAATATTTACACCTGTTCTGATCATTCTCTTGTCCTGGCTCCGTGATTCCTTGAACTCCAAACTATGCTCCAGTAATCATTCACAAGCATTAGTCCAACTCTTCACTGACATTTAGCTTACCCAGCTAGTCCTATCTGAAAATGCAAGCCTTAGCCAACTCTGTCTTCTGTTAGTTAGCCAATCCTCTATCTGTGCTGATGTATTACCTCCAACAGCATGTATTGTTATCTTAAGTAGTCTAATGTGTGGTAGCTTATCAAACGCCTTCTGAAAATCCTATATATTACATTCATACTGCTTGTTACCTCATAAAAGAATTCTAGATAAATTTTTTAGGCACAATTTCCCCTTCATGAAGGACTTATGGACTCTGCTGGATCATATTATGCATTTCTAAATGCTCTGCTATTACATCCTTTGTAATAGACTTTAACTTTTCCCGATAATGGACATTAAGCTAACTGGCCTGGAGTTACCTTTTTGGTCACCAACCTTTTTAAAGTAAAGCTGATATATTAGTAGTTTTCCAAGCCTCTGGGGTGGTTCCAGAATTTAAGGATTCCTTGAAGATTACCAGTGGACCTGTTATCTCTGGAGCTACCTCCTTTAATATCCTCAGATAATGGGTCCATGGAACCTATTGGTCTTCAGCTCCATTGGTTTTCCGAGTAATTTTTCTCTCGTGATTGTTATTGTAATTATTTTCTCTCCTCCTTTTTCCCCTTGTGTATTTTTGTAATCTTGTAATGCTATTTTAGTGACTTCTACTGTAAAACCGAAGGAAAGAATTTATTTAACTTCTGTGCCATTTCCTAGTTCCTTTTTTCATTCGTTCACAGGATTTGGGTGATTTTAATCTTCATGTAGATAGGCATAGTCAGACTGGCAGAGGAAGCCATGAGGAAGAATTCATAGTGAATTCAGGACAGTTTCCCAGAACAATATGTTGTGGATTGAAGAAAGGATCAGGCTACTTTGGATCAGGTGAAATGTAATGATATAGGTTAATAAATCATGTTAGAGTAAAAGATCCCCTGGAAACAGTGACCATAACATGGTTGAATTCAGTATTCAGATTGAGACGGAAAAACTTGGGTCAGAACTAACTATGCTAAGCTTAAATAAGGGTAATTAAAGGAATGAGGGTAGAGCTGGCTAGAGTAGACCAGATTCAATGAGACTCTACATTCTGTACCTGTCTGCTATGAGATACCTTATCAAATGCCTTACTAAAGTCCATGTAGACAACATCCACTGCCCTTTGCTCATGTCACCTCCTCAAAAAGAACTCAGTCAGGTTGCTGAGACATGACCTTCCCCGCATACACCCATGCCACCTGTTACTAATAAGCCATTTGCTTCCAAATGTGAATAAATCTTGTTTCAGCATCTTCTCCAACAGCTTCCCCACCACTGATGTCAGGTTTTTGTTTGTTTCAATGTTATCTCTTGATGATATCTGGTTTCTGCCACTGTATTGTCACCTATTGGAGTTCTTCAGAGTTTCTCCTTTTTTATGGCAATTTCAGTCCATTCAATATCCTCCGTCTTTGCCTTCCATCTGTGCTCATCTCCTTGTTTTGAAACTCCAATCCTGATTGTACCAGTGAAGTCTTCTATGCCTACTGGAGAGGGCAGATGGAGCCTTGTTTTGCAGTTTTTTTTAAAATACAGCACCTTCAACCACACAAAGTTTTCGCAGTACTGCACTTGACTGTGGCCCTGCATTACATGCTCAGATCTCTAGGATGGCTATGATATGGTGGATATAACCTTAGATTCAGAGAGGAGGGAACTACCCATTGAGCCAAGACTGACATTAAGTTTAAATTAAACTATTTAGTTAACTTGCTCAAAATTTCTTAGACAAAATCGTCTTTTGTAGAGGATGCTAAATGTAAAAATCAATGACTAAATGACTTCTATTTTGGTGTCTTCTTCATAAGAGACTGTGATAATCTGTTATAAGTGTTGTGTTCCTCTTGGATCCCGCCAGAACAGCCAGGACTTCATAGACGCAATGTCTGCCTGCCACCAGCGAGGAGCGGACCTCATTGTGGAGGGAGCCATTAAGAACTCAGGTTTGTACATCAAGCTGGGACAGGGGCTGTGCGCCTTCAACCATCTGCTCCCCCATGAGTATACCAACACTCTGCGAATCCTAGAAGACAAGGCCATCAACAGGAGGTACAAGGAGGTATGTTTGTTTTTGTTTCCTTTGTCTCAGATAGTACTGGGAACTCTTGATACTTCATGTTTTCACCATTTGTTTTAGGCACCTTGAAGACTAGTAACATGCTGAGGTCCAGAATCCAGCATTCTTTTTCCACTACACCAAACTATTACTGAGCTCCAACCTTCAACATGCAGAATCCTAATGCACCAGTTTACTCATTTCCATTGCTAATCTCAACCATTCGTGTAAATTCCCCAAATCAGGTTGTGTTAAATGGGAGATAGTAAGAACTGCCAATGCTGGAGTCAGAGATAACACAGTGTGGCGCTGGAGGAACAAAGCAGGCCGGGCAGCACCAGAGGAGCAGGAGAGTTGACATTTTGGGTCGGGACCCTTCTTCGGTTTCTGCAATGTCAACTTTCCTACTCCTCTGCTGCTGTCTGGCCTGCTGTGTTCCTCCAGCTCCACGTTGTGTTATCTATGTTAAATGGGAGACTATTTCATGAGGCCCTAAGAATCAAATTGCACCAATTTAGAAGTCACTTGAGCAAAGATCATCAGAACCAGAAGAGGCAATAAATTCTTCTATGTCAGGTCTGTATCCGATGCATTGAGGTGACATCATCTCTGCACTGGATTTGCACCAGATGGGAATTGGATCCATTGCACCATTCATTTCTCAGGCTAGATTTTAACTCGATCAGAAGCTGATTTGTTGCAGTACTTGCTCCCTATCAAAAGCAAAACCAGCTGTTAATACCAGCTATGTCTTTACATTAAATGTATCCATAAAATATGTAATCTTCTTTTCCTGACATCATCAGGTCGATGCATTGTTCCTTGAAGATTTTGAAACCACTCCGGATAAGTTATTCAAACACTTTGAGGAAGAGCCATTCGCAGCTGCCAGTCTATCACAGGTCCACAAAGCAGAGCTGTATGATGGAACATCTGTGGCTGTTAAAGTAGGTCGAGCCTGCTGCGCCAGTGGTGGTGACCATATCACAGACTAATCTTGTTCAGGCAGTTCTCCTATAATGTGATAGTTGTGTTCTTGTGTGACCTCATGCTATACAAAATTGTGCTATAGAAAACCGCGTTATAGGGAAATCATTGTAGAAAATTGCTCTACCTATCCAGCAGAAAATTTGTGTTCTCCAAACAGCATCCACTATTCATCAATCACGTTACAGCTATTTGTGTTAACAAAACATGCATTATAGCAGAACTACCTCTATTTCAAAATAATAAATAGTTTAACTGCTTCAAATTACAACTAATTTCATCCTCATATTCTCTCAATTTGCCTGGCGTAGTCATTAATGAGCTTACAGGTTCATTAAAAGCAACACTGGAAAGGGAGGTGTGGCACAGTGGTGATGTCACTGGGCTGGTCATCCAGAGCCTCCGAATAATGTTTAGGGACGAATCCCACCAGAGCAGATGGAGAAATCAGAATTCAATAAAATCTAACTTTATGAAAGGTATTATAATGATCATGTAACTACTATAACCATCTAGTTCACTTCTGTCCTTTAGGAGGTACGTATGCCACCCGTGACTGGTTTAGATGTGACTCCAGACCCGTAGCAGTATGCTTGACACTTAACTGCTCCCTGAAATGGCCTAGAAAGCCACTCAGTTCAAGGGCAATTAGAGATGGGCAACAAACGTTGGCCTTGCCAGTGACCTCTATTTTCCATGCAAGAATATAAAAAGACCATTCAGTCTATCAAGGCTAACGTGCCATTTGCTTTTCTCAAGTATCTAATGACCTATAATTTATCTGTTACACATAAATTACGATGATGTGAATCAGCTAGCTTTAAAATTTTCACAATATCAACAATGCCCAGAACCTGTTACGTTCAATACCGTTTCTTCCCCTTGCACTGGAATATATTTAAATAGTTGGCTTCAACATGATTTGGGACTAGGTGCTTATACAAGTCATGTGGGCACATCTATGGTGGGTGTGTTAACACACCAAAAATCCATACTCCTTCAATCATCAGGTCGATGCATTGTGGAGATATATCTCAAATAATGATTTGGGAAAGGAGGGGATGGCAAGATAGATGAGAATGAAAGTTACACTGAATTAATAAAGAAATAACTTGCTGTTTTTTTGTGCCTTTCAAGGGCTTGGACATTCTCAATCACTTCATAGCACTTTTTTTCTTAAATCTGCTTGTAAACTTAGTCTGATTGCAGTTTAACACCCCGTTTTGTTCCATGTGCGTAGATCACTGAAAGTTGCCACCCAGGTTGATAGCGTTGTTAAGAAGGCGTACAGTATGTTAGGTTTTATTGGTAGAGGGATTGAGTTTCGGAGCCATGAGGTCATGTTGCAGCTGTACAAAACTCTGGTGCGGCCGCACTTGGAGTATTGCGTACAGTTCTGGTCACCGCATTATAGGAAGGATGTGGAAGCATTGGAAAGGGTGCAGAGGAGATTTACCAGGATGTTGCGTGGTATGGAGGGAAGGTCTTATGAGGAAAGGCTGAGGGTCTTGAGGCTGTTTTCGTTAGAGAGAGGAAGGTTAAGAGGTGACTTGATAGAGACATACAAGATGATCAGAGGATTAGATAGGGTGGACAGTGGGAGCCTTTTTCCTCGGATGGTGATGGCTAGCACGAGGGGACATAGCTTTAAATTGAGGGGTGATAGATATAGGACAGATGTCAGAGGTAGGTTCTTTACTCAGAGAGTAGTAAGGGCGTGGAATGCCCTGCCTGCAAAAATAGTAGACTCGCCCACTTTAAGGGCATTTAAATGGTCATTGGATAAACATATGGATGATAATGGAATAGTGTAGGTTAGATGGGCTTCAGATTGGTTTCACAGGTCGGCGCAACATCGAGGGCCGAAGGGCCTGTACTGCGCTGTAATGTTCTATGTTCTATGTTCTAGGTACAGTTCATTGATCTAAGAGACCGGTTTGACGGAGATATTATGACACTGGAATTCCTCTTGGGTCTAGTTCAGCTTATGCATCCAAAGTTTGCATTCCGTTGGGTCCTCCAGGTAAATATTCTTCGTACTAATCAAAGAGTTGTCATGTTGATTGTAACATCATATATTCAAAGAACAAGAACAAAGAACAACGCAGCTCAGGAATAGGCTCTTTGACCCACCAAGCCTGCCCTTCCATGCTAAAACTGTCTTCACTTACAGGATCCGTATCCCTCTTATCCCTTCATATTCATGTATTCATTCAGAGATAGTAGGAACTGCAGGTGCTGGAGAATCTGAGATAACAAGGTGTAGAGCTGAATGAACACTGTTCATCCAGCTCTACACCTTGTTATCTCATGTATTCGTTTAGGTGCTTCTTGAATGCTGCCACTATCTGCTTCCACCACCACCTCTGGCAACACATTCCAGGCACTCACCACCCTTTGTGTTAAAAACTTGCCTCACAAATCTCTTTTAAACTTCCCCTCTCGCACCTTGAAACTGTGTCCCCTAGTAATTGACCCCTGCACCCTGGGAAAAAGCCTCATACTTTCCACTCCATTCATGCCATTCACAATCTTTTAAACTTCTGTCAGGTGACCCCTCAACCTCCTGCGTTCCAGTGAAAACAAACAGAGTCTCTCCAACCTTTCTTCATAGCTAAAATCCCTCATACTTGGCAACATCCTGGTAAACATTTTCTGTAGCCTCTCCAAAGCTTCCACATCCTTTTGGTAGTGTGGTGACCAGAAATGTACGCAATTTGATATGCAAACACTACCATCTGCAAGTTCCCCTCCAAGCTCAACCTAAAACATCTCTTGGCTGAACTGTGGATTATGACAAGAAACTTCCCAGATCTTCTGAAGCCTTTGACTTAACATTCCTAAGTAGCATCATTTTTTAATTTAAATTCTCGTTCTCTCACGCTCTCTCTCTCTCTCTCCCCTTCCTCCTTTTCTTTCTTTTCTTCTGCCCTACGCAATTCCATTTTTTTTAAAAGTCTAACTCTTTGGAATTCCAATTTCCTCATTTCTATTTTCCTGAACTGCAACGTGGGGTTCACTAAATCCAGCTGTTTCATTATTAAATCTATAATGTTTGCTGTCTTAGCTTGCTCTGGCAACTTTATTTCCCATCTGTTGGCCAAATCTGCTAATTTAGTTTCAGTCAATACTAGGTAAACTCCTAACACTTTCAAAAATTTTAACTATTTCCAGTGCCATCTTAAGCTTGAGTACAAACCCAGTGTCTAAGTGTTCCATTCTAAGTACCAAAATCCAATTCCAGACCTCTATCATGTGCATTTCACGCTCCAGGACTTCAGCCCCCAATTATTTTACGACACGGAGGTAAAGAGCCAAACCAAATCAGTCTCTCCATCTCTGTGTTCGCAACATAGTAAAATTAAAACATTCAAAGACTCTCAAAATAGATCCTAATGGTTCCTAACCAGAATTTTGTATAACTAATTCCAGAGCCTGCAAATAATCAATTCCAGAGAACGGTTTATATCTTAAGGGAATAGGGGAGGCAATGACCTAGTGGTATTATCGCTGGACTGTTAGTCCAGAGACCCGGATAACATTCTGAGGATCGAAACCTGCCATGGCAGATGGTGGAATTTGACTTCAGTAAAATATATGTGGAATTAAGAGTCTAATGATGACCATGAATCCATTGTCGATTGTTGGAAAAACCCATCTGGTTCACTAATGTCCTTTAGGGAAGGAAACTGCCATCCTTACTTGGTCTGGGCTACATGTGACTCCAGACCCACAGCAATGTGGTTGACTCTGAACTGCCCTCTGGGCAATTAGGGATGGACAATAAATGCTGCCTCGCCAGTGATGTCCTCATCCCATAAATGAATAAAGGAAACCAAAGACTGAACAAATTATTAACAATGTAATAACTTTAGTAGAGCAAAACTAAACAACAATAATCTAATTGACCTATGCTATAAACCCAAAAAGATGTTGTTTTGAGCCCCAGTCACACAAAAGACAGACAGACAGACAGACAAACCAATACAGTTAAGGGATAAATAAAATAACACAATTTGTCAGATTGCTTAGGTGGTTTTCACAATGTGTTGTTCCACAGGCAAACATGATGGTTTCTTGGTTGGTTTTTCTGAAAATGTCAATCAGAGTCACCTTTACAGTTCAGCCAGATGAAGGCAGTAATATTTATAACTTCCTATGAATTTTAGTTTTGAACAGATCTGATCTGTTTCTTGCATGTTTATGTCGGATTTTAATTTTTTTTTTAAAAGCTGAGACATCTTTGTACCTTGAGGACTTTGTGATAGCTGAACAAGACGACTTTCAAGCTTTAGATCTTTAATTCTTCCTTTTACAATCCAACCATCCCTTGTAATGATTATTTGAACATGGAGAACATAGAACAGTACAGGCCCTTCAGCCCATGATGTTGTGCCGATCTATTATCCTACTAAGATCAGTCTACCCTGCATACCCTACTTTTTACTATCCTCCATGTGCCTATCCAAGAGTTGCTTAAAAGTCTGTAAAGTATCTGACTCCACTACCTCTGCCGGCAGCGCATTCCACATGCTTACCACTCTGTGTAAAGAGCGTATTTCTGACATCTCGCCTATACCTTCCTCCGATCACCTTAAAATTATGGCCCGTCGTAATAGTCATTTCCGCCCTGGGAAAAAGTCTCTGACTATCCACTCTATCTATGCCTGTCATCGTCTTGTACACCTCTATCAAATCACCTCTCATCCTTCTTCGCTCCAATGAAAAAACTCCTAGTTCCCTCAACTTTTCCTCATAAGACCTGCCCTCCAGTCCACGCAGCATCCTGGCATTGCTTTCTTCAGAATAGTGCTGAAAATTAGAATTACCATAATCATGTACATTTTGTATCTCAAATCTTTTTTTTCCAAAAGGTATTTGTATGTTGTTCTCAGTTAAAGCTCGGGTTGAGTATCTGAAAATCACAACTTTAAGTGAAAAGACTTCATGAAGCATGGATTCCAATAAGGATCAATGTTAAAATTGGAGTTAGACTCCATAGGGCCTTCCTTATAAGTCCTCCAAGGTGAAATACAGTACGATGATAGTTTAAATTACTAAATTCCTGTATTAGCAAAGGAACTAATTAAAAATGAATAGTAAAATGTAAAAGAAAAATGGAATTTTGGAATTTCAATACCTGCCAAACTTCAGAGGGTTTGTGCTTCCACACTGTCTGCTAAGGCCACTGTTTATTCCTGGCCATATCATGGCCACAGCCTGGTAATGTCTCCTTGGGGGTCTGCGATGACACTTCTTGGGTATCGCCATCAGCTCCTGGGTCCGCTCAGGCCATTGCTTGCTGGGTGTTTGTTGTGGCTGGGCCTGTTGACGTTTTGTGATACTTTCTGGCTGTGGTGACTTTCTTGGGAATGTAAACTCCTGTTCTTTTCTTAATGTAACACTTTTTAATGTAATGCCCCCTACCATGGTAACCTGGATCAGTGCTGCAGTAGGCATTTGGCAATCCAAACGTTATGAATTGGGAGTGATGCAATGCAATGCAATGATCAGCAATGACCTGACTGCACGCTGGAGCAGGTGAGAGGGCCTAAATTCCTATGCCTGTTGATATTGAGGGTATTAGGATATATTCCTGTACAGACCATTCTCCACAGGATATATGAACATAAAAATTAAGAACCGGGTGGACTACACACCCCTACAAACCTGTTGCACAATTTATTGAGATCATTCTTGATCTAATTATCCTGCCTTCCAGCGTATATCCAATAACATTTCACCTACTTGCTTATCACTTTGCCTTAAAAGAATGCACAGACTTTTGCCTGCCTTTTAAGAAAGAATTCCAAGGACTCAAAATGGTCTGAGAAACATTTTTTCCTTATCTCGGTCTTAAGTAGATGACCCCTGTTCTGGATTCTCCCACAAGAGGAAACAACCTCAACATATGCACCCTGTCAAGACTTTTTAGACTCTATATGTTTCATTCAGGTCCTCTCCCACTCTTCTAAACTCCAGCAGATACAAGCCTGACCAGCCTTTTCTTGTAAGATAATCTGCCTGTTCCAATTATCAGTCTTGTAACCAACCTCTGAAGCACTTAATTTACATCCTTTCTTAAATAAGGAGACCTAGTACTGGACACAGAAATTAAGGGGCGACTTTTTCATGCAGATGGTAGTGCGAATATGGAATTAGCTGCCAGAAGAGGTGGTGGAGGCTGGTAGAATTACAGCACTTAAAAGGCATCTAATGGGTATATGACGAGGAAGAGTTTAGAGGGATAAGGGCCAAATGCTGGCAAATGGGTCTAGATTAATTTAGAATATCTGATTGGCATGCACAAGTTGAACTAAAGGGTCTGTTTCTGTCCTGTACATCTCTGACTCTGACGTCATCTGGACGTCCCTTTGTATCAGACAACGGGACCCTGTGTGAAAACCTCTCTGGCTATGTCGAGGGCATCTTGAAACCCATTGTACAAGGAACCCCCAGCTTCTGTCGTGACACCACAGATTTCCTACAGAAATTCGGCACCCACGGACCAGTCGAACCAGAAACGTTCCTCGTCACGATGGATGTTTCGGCACTCTACACCAGCATCCCCCATGATGATGGCATCAGTACTCAATACCAACAACTGCCAATTTCCAGGCGCCATCCTGTAACTCATGTGCTTCACCCTTGACCACAACGTCTCCGCCTTCGACACCTGGTTCTTAATTCAGATGTATGGAACAGCCAAGCAGACCAAACTTGCTCCCCAATATGCCAGCATTTTCATGCACAAGTTCGAGCAAGACTTCTTTGCTACGCAGACCTCCAACCAGTGCTATACACTAGATACATTGATGACATTTTTTGCCCTTTTGGGCTTATAGCGAGGAATCACTGAAACAACTACATAGTGATATCAGAGATAGTAGGAACTGCCGATGCTGGAGAATCTAAGATAACAAGGTGTAGAGCTGGATGAACACAGCAGGCCGAGCAGGAAATCTGACGTTTCAGGTCTAGACCCTTCTTCAGAAAAGGGTCCAGACCGGAAACGTCAGCTTTCCTGCTCCTGATGCTGCTTGGCCTGCTGTGTTCATCCAGCTCTACACCTTGTTATCTCACATAGTGATATCAACTAGTTTCATCCCACCATCAGACTTACCATGGACTACTCTTTAGAATCAGTCTCATTCTTGTACACAGGCATCTTCATCAAGGACGGACATCTCAGTACCTCACTATACTGCAAGCCCACCGGTAACCTCAGGATGCTGCACTTTTCTAGCTTCAACCCTAAACCTATTAAAAATGTCATCCCCTATGGACAAGCTGTACGCATATACAGGATCTGCTCAGATGAGGGGGAATGCAATGGACACTTGAAGGTGTTGAAGGATGCCCTTATAAGAACAGGATACGACGCTGAACTCATCGCTCGCCACTTCCATCGTCTCACAGCAAAAAACTGTAATGACTCCTCGGAAGACAGACACAAGATACAACCGGTAGGGTACCCTTCACCGGAGCAGAGAATCTACGCCATGTTCTTTGCAATCTCCACACTATCGCCGACAATGAGTACCTCACCACAATCTCCCCTACGCTTCCACTTCTCGCCTTCAAACCTTAAACAGACCATTGTTCACAGCAAACTACCCAGCCTTCAGGATGGCAATGACCACAACACCACACAATCCTGCCATGGCAAACTCTGCAAGACATGTCACATAATCGACATGGGTACTACTGTCACACATGGGAACACCACCCACCATGTGCATGGCAGATACTCGTGTGACTTGGCCAGTGTTGTCTACTCATACGATACAGGCAAGGATGCCCCAAGGCATGGTATATTGGTGATAACAAGGTGTGGAGCTGGAGGAACACAGCAGGCCAGGCAGCATCAAGAGGAGCAGGAAAGCTGACGTTTCAGGTCTGGACCCCAGACGCTATGACAACTGATAAATGGACACCGTGCAACGATCACTGGACAGCTGTGTTCCTTCCTAGTGGAGGAACACTCCAAGGTCAAGGACATTCAGCTTCTTCAAGTAAGTGTCCTCCAACATGGACTTTGAGATACACAACAATGCAAAATCGCTGAGCAGAGGCTGACAGCCAAGTTCCATACCCATAAGGACAGCCTCAATTGTGATCTTGGGTTCATATCGCACTACAAGTGATCCCACCACACTATATACTCGCATGCACGCACACACTTTATTTGTCTCTCTCTCATGCACAGACACAGAGACAGACAGAGACATACACACAAATTATTTGATCCAAGATGTTTGTGTAGTGCAGATACATTCTGTTTTGCTGAAAAAAAACTGATCCGAGTTTAAAACATAGACAGATTCTAAGCAAGACCTCACATGTAAAATGCATTGTCTGACCTGAGACGTCACCTCTTGCGTACATGATAAAAGCGTTAATTATCTACATTTTGCATTTTAATCAGTAGTCTCCTTCCTAATTAATTAAAGATTCAACAAAAGGCAGCCAGTTTCAGGGTTGTTATCTTTCTGTTTATAACTTGTCTTATACCCTCTCTCTCTCTCGCTATGCCCGAGGAAGGATCTGAGCTCAGAAAGCTTGCTTTTTCAAATTAACCTTTTGGACTATAACCTGGTGTCGTGTGATTTTTGATTTTGTATGACCAAAGCATAAAATTCTAACTTCTATATTCAATTCCCTTCTTAAAATAATGTTTTGTTGGATTTCTCAATTACTTATTACATCTGCAAATTAACCTTTTGCAATTCATGAATTAGGACACCCAGACAACTCTGCGTCTTAGCACTCTGCAATCTCTCATCATGTAAATAAAATACTTCTCTGTTCTTCCTGTCAAAATGGAGAATTTCATATTTTCCCACATTGTACTCCATTTGGCAGGACCTGAAGGGAACGCTGGCCCAGGAACTGGACTTTGAGAATGAAGGTCATAATGCAGAACGATGTGCAGAAGATCTCAGGCACTTCAAATTTATTGTCATTCCTAAGGTGCACTGGGAGCAGACCAGCAAGGTGAGGCAAAAGGAATGGGGTGTGTTCTAGCAGTATGTTAAAATTTGTCTCTGTGATTAAAATTTAAAGTTGCCATTGATTCTGCTTAGTTCTACATGCTGGGAAGCCACCTTAATTTCAATTCAAGATGGCTCCATTGCCTGGAGGCTGGATTTTAAAGCATTCACTTATTTATTCAGGTTTGATATCTGGAACTGAGGCAAGTAGGGTCTATAGACCTATACTTCACATAAATTTTGCTGCTTACCAGATCATTCTTTGTCTCTGATTCTGCTGGCAGAAATGGAACCTCAAATTTTGAGGGTGATATACAATTCTCTTATGGTTGCGATGTCTCTAAAATGCCATAGTGGTAGAATATGAAGTATGTCTTTTGTCAAAGATGCATCAGGAATTTGACTTTTGTTTTGGAACGTGACTGCTCCTGAAAAACTATATATTTCCCATCTTCACTGCCCAAAATGATTTTGTCAGACCATTCAATATAATTATGACTGATCGTTAGCCCTAATTCCTCATTTCCCACTCACTCCTAATACACCTTGTACCTTTCAAGGTCAAAATTCTATCCCTCTCAGCCTTAATGAATTAACAATGGAGCATCTACGATGCTTTGAGATAGAGAATCCCAAAAATTCACAACTCTTTGAATTAAGAAATTTCTCCTTACTTTGATCCTAAATGATCACACTGCCGAATCTCCCTTCCCCTCATTTTATCTTGCCACTGCGTGTGTGTGGGAGAGAGTGTGTGAAATAGTGTGTGTCTAGGTGCAATCACTCAGCCTTACATTATAGGAAAACATTTTAAATGAGAAACTAATCTAATGAACCTTTGCTACACTGCCTCCACCAAAAGCCAAAACTGTACAGTATTCTACCTGTGGGTTCACCAGCAATCTGTAGCAAGACGTCCTTATTCTTGTACTTCAGTCCTTTTCAAATAAAGATCAATTTGCCATCCTAATTGTTTGCTTGTTTCTAAATGTTAATTTTGCGTTCGTTATAAAAGCACACAAAGTCCCTCAAGATACACAATTGTTTTCATGTTTCATGTCTGTTTAAAAGTCCTGCACTTCTATTTTTACTACCAGAGTGAATAACCTCACATCCCCATATTACGCTCATCTGCCACCTTGTTGCCCATTCACATAACCTGTCTCTACCTCATTTAAACCTCTGTGTCTCTGCAGCTTACGTTCCCATCCAACTTTGTTTCAGCTGCTAACTTAGAAGACTGAGAGTAATGTATGTAAACTAAATAGCTGAGGCCCCAGCACTGATCCTTGAATAGCTCCATGAGTCATAACATGTCAATTTGAGAATACCCTGCTCACTGCTACTTTCTACTTACTGTTAACCACTCCTATATCCATGCTGACATTATTACCCCCAATTCTGAGAGCCCTTATTTTACCTTGTAACCTTTTTTGGCATCTTGATGAATGCATTTGGAAACTCAGATGTACTATATCTGCTGGTTTCTCTTTATCTATCTGCCACTTACATCCTCCAAAAAGAAAACTATCTAGCACAATTTTCCTTTTTATAAAACCATATTTACCTGATAATTTGAAAATCACAGTATATTGTTAAGGCTTCACTAGCAATAGATTCCATAGATGCCATTCTAAGGGGTCATTAGACCTGAAACATTAACTTTGCTTTCTCTTCACAGTATATATTAATGATTTGGATGAGGGAACAAAATGTAACATCTCCAGGTTTGCAGATGATACCAAGTGGGTGGTAGGGTGAACTGTGACGAGGATGCACAGATCCTTTAGCATGGTCTCGACAGATTGGGTGAGTGGGCAAATCAATGGCAGATGCAGTATAATTAGGATAAATGTGAGGTTATTCACTTCGGAAGCAAAATCAAGAAGGCAGATTACTACCTGAATGGCTGTAAATTGGGAGAGGGGAGTGTGCAGTGGGATCTGGGTGTCATTGTGCACCAGTTGCTGAAGGTAAGCGTGCAGGTGCAGCAGGTGGTAAAGAAGGTAAATGGTATGTTGGCCTTCATTGCGAGAGGCTTCGAGTATATGAGCAGGGATGTGTTGTTGCAGTGGTACAGGGCCTTGGTGAGATCACACGTGGAATATTGTGTGCAGTTTTGACATCCTTTTCTGAGGAAGGATGATCTTGCTCTTGCTCTTGCTCTTGAGGGAGTGCAGCAAAGGTTTACCAGGCTGATTCAAGGGATGGCAGGTCTGAGGTATGAGGAGAGATTGACTAGGTTGGGATTGTTTTCACTAGAGTTCAGATGAGTCAGCGCTGATCTCATAGAGACTTATAAAATTCTAACAGGCCTAGACAAGGTAGATGCAGGGAGGATGTTCCTGATGGTGGGTATGTCCAGAACTAGAGTCATAGTATGAGGATTTGGGGTAGACCATTTAGGACGGAGATGAGAAGACATTTCTTGACCCAAAGAGTGGCAAGAGAGTGGAATTCATTAGCACAGGAGGTAGTTGATGCAAAAACGTTGAATGTATTCACGAGGCAACTAGATATAACACTTGGGGCAAATGGGATCACAGGTTATGGGGAGAAAGCAGGATTAGGCTGTTGAGTTGGGACGATCAGCCATGATCGTGAAGAATAGCGGAGCAGGCTCAAAGGGCCGAATGGCCTCCTCCTGCTTCTATCTTGTATGCTTTTATGCTGCCAGACCTACTGAAATTTCTTTTCTTTTTCAGATTTTCAGTATCCACAATTTTAATTTAATTTAATTTTAATTTTAATTTGAGGATCTATTGGAATTTAGTTCTAAGTGTTATTATTATTATTATTTTTAAATTTCTCACAATTAATAGCTCCTTGGTTAGTGCCTCTTTCTGATTTGTAATTTGTGAAGACATGTGCTATTTATTCAGTGTCTCTGCTAATTCTTCATTCCTGTTGATGAGTTCTCCTGTTGTTTCTCAGAAACCAACATTTTCGTGAATGAATCCACTTTTGTTTTAAACACTTGTAAAACCTGTTAAAATATGTTTTTATATTCCTGGCTAGTTGCTTCATGTTCTGTTTCTTTTCGCGCCCCTCCTTTTTATCAGTTGTTTGGTTGTCCTTAGCTGGCGTCTCAAACATTCCCAATCCTCAAGCATACTGTTATTCTTTACCACATTTAGGCTCCTTGTTTAATCTAATCCTGTACTTAACCACCTCCGTAAACCACGGATGGCTCTTTATATGTTGTTTTTGTCAATGGAATGTGTTTTTATTGACTGGTCTCCATAAATGTTTCCTATAATTAATTTATTGCTGTACCATTCAGCCTATTTACCCAATTAACCTCAGTCAGCTTTTCCCTTCCCTTAAGATTCTTCCTTGTTTTTCAAACTGGATGACAGTGATCTGATCAAAGTCTTGTGGACATTAATTGGAAAAGACTGGGTAGATAAAGATAAACTATTTCTGGTGATTGGAGATTCTCAAACTAGGGCATATAGTCTAAAAATTGAGGCCTGACTGTTCAGGCAAGATGTTAGTGCATTTCTACGTACAAAGGGTGGTAGAGGCAGAAGTTGTTACTGACTTAGTTGTGGATGTTAAATCTGAGGTAAATCCTTTTTTTGTTAAGTAGATCCATTTAAAGGATCTGGGCCAAAGCGGGTATATGCATTTGGGCAATAAATCAGCCATGATCTCATTGAATGTGTGATCAGGATCGAGGGACTGAATGAGCTACTCCTGTTCCTGTGCTCCTATTTATCCACATTACACTGCATCTGGTATACATTTGTACACTTACATGGCTTGTCCCCATCACACTAAAGCATCTCTGCTGCATTCCCACAAATTTATACACCCAGATTTGTGACGCCTGCAAATGTGGAGAAATTACATTCAGTTTTGTCATTTAAATAATTAATATATATATAGTGAACAGCTCCGGGCCAAGCACTAATTCCTGTAGTAATCCATTAGTCATTGCTTGACAGTCAGAAAAAAAAGACTATTATAGCAGAGTGAGTGTGTGAGTGTGTGAGTGTGTGTGTGTGTATACCAGAAAGACTGTGTGAGTGTGTGTGTGTGTGTAGCTGTGAGTGTGAGTGTGAGTAGCTGTGAGTGTGAGTGTGCGTAGCAGAGAGTGTGTGTGTGTGTGTGTGTGCGTAGCAGAGAGTGTGTGTGTGTGTGCGTAGCAGAGAGTGTGTGTGTGTGCGTAGCAGAG